TTCAGTTTCTACTAGTAGAACAGCCACTCTTCCCAGTAAAAACCACAAAAGAACTTGGAATGTCTGCACTTTTCTCACAGAGCAAAAATGGCTGCTTTGAAAAAAAAAAAAAAACACCCAGACTACAAGGTACAAATTTCTCCAGGGACAGTTTGTCCCAGGAGACCAAATGCCTGCACACTTTCCTTTGGCCTAACAGGAGGAGTAAAGCTGCAGAAAGGCTCCTGTACTTACTACAGACTAGGGTCACTCTGGCTTGGGGGAGAAGAAAGGAAGGGAAGGAGGGAGGAAGAGGAGGACAGTTGCTTCTGCACTTCCCATAGACCAGGAGAGGAGGGGAGTGGATGGGTGGAGCAACTGGCAGCTGCTCCCAACCTGCTTCTCTCTCTCTCTAGAGTTTGCAGAGTGAGAAACAGGCAAGGGGCTTTTCCCCGTTGCTGTCTCCACTCAGCTCCTAGACACTTTTGAAATGTTTTTGTTCCAACTTGGAAGCAAATCAAAACAATGGGCATATATACCCGAGACATTTACCGCAGAGTAGACTAATTAGCTCCACAATAAAACATCAGTGTCTATACATGCAGCCGTATTAAGCCGCAGGAAACTAAAAACCTCCACAACAGGGTAGTACTTGTAAGTACAAGTATGATCCCACTGCAGAGTTATTTACCGCATAGCAACACATATGTGGACACTGACAATAACTTTAAAAAACAGAAAGGGGGGGGGGGAAGAATGACATTTTTGGAATGAAAATATACCCCACTTAACAGTTTCAAAGAATATTAAACTAATATAAAAGTATCTGAAAAGTCCAAATGAAATTAACTGAATGATAAAGTCAAAATGTAATGCTTTGATATTACTGAAACAAAATTAGATGTAATGAGTTTTGATTTCTGCAGAGTGGGTTCTCTTTTGTTCTTATCAAAACAACATTTGATAGAAAAAGCATGCGCGCACATGCTTTAACCAGCTCAACCAAAGAAAAGCTGTGGAATCTCCATCTCTGGAAATTTTGAAGAGCACACACTTGGCTAGAATGGTTTAGTCAGGGATTTTCCTGCCTTGAGCAGGGGATCTTTACTATGATCTGAGACAGACACACAGAAACTTTATTTTTTAATTGAAAGCTGGTCTTCCATATCTCCAACCTACTTTCCAGATCTCTTGATATAAGGATATCAGATGACTCTGTGGCCCCTTCTACACGTGCACTTAAAAGGTGCAATGGGATCTAATGTGCAATCCATGCAATTGTGCATTAGATCCCATCATACCTTACTGCCAAAGCAGAGGGAGTCTGATCCCTTACACTGACAAAAAGCAAGCTCCTACAAATCGAGAGCCCCCTCAGCTGAGCACCCCACACACCATCGTGGCTGGAGGATCATGGCAGCCACAATCCTTAGGCCTGAGAGGGTAGGCAAAAACCCCAAGCCCAGAGGATTGCAGCTACCTTCGATACCAAGGACCCAGGGTTTCACACTGGGCATGGGGCATCAGTCAACAGAGCTCCCAGCCACAGGCGAGACCATGCTACAAGTTCAAATTAAAGCTCGATAGCAACTAGCTATAAAGTTAGTATACATTTTCAAGGTCTAACTTTTTAGCTGGTTGGAGCTTTTTTTCCCCATGCAGTAAGCAGTTTGCACATGTAGCTGATCTTGAGGTAACTGTGCAATAAGGTATCTGTGCAGACTGTGTAGTACCTGTAACATGTAGAGAGGACCTGAGCTACACAGATTTTTCTTCAGCACAGTCCCCGTTATAGAGGACAAAGATTTAGAGCGGGCCCTATGGAAATGTTTTTTTTCCCCATTTGCTGTAATGTTTGATTACATTACACACTACATTACATTACCCCCTTTTGTTTCCAATGACACTAAAACGACAGAGAGACAGATCACATCCAATATCCTGCGACTTCCTGCATCAGGACTAGCCTAGGTTCTACCTCCAGAGCCCTAGATTTCCTGGCATCTTAAAATGAACTTCTGTTGAAAAATCCCCTGAATTACTTTGTGCTGCTATTAGCTATGAGAAAGAAACCTACTGCTCACAGAGAAGAAAGGAAGAAGTCAAGAAAAGTGAAATAAATCTTAACAGTACACACGCTTACCCAAAGGTAAGCAGAGTCTAAAAAACCAGTAACACACACCTCTTACTGAGGGCAAAGTTACTGCAGTTTAGCTTCCATTTATCATGGGGCAAGATGTATACTGTACACCAACTAACAAACAAAGCCCACACCCATGATTACTGTTAATGTGTCCATAGCCAAAGAGGCAAAATAGTGCTAGACCCTGTGCAGACCAAAGTAACCTTAATATACAAGTCGGCTGAGGCAAGACCTAAACACCACAGCCTGGGGAGTGTCCATAACCTTGAATCAAAAGCCAAGATCCTCTGCCCAGAATACTAGAGAAAGTCAGTGCTGCTGCTTTGCGATTTGGGGGAGGGGGGGTGAATGGTAGTTCACAAGTAAACTAAAGTTAAGGACTCGATGATGGAGATAACTGCCTAATTCCAGATGTCTGTTCCATCAGGAGACAGGCAGTGGAACCAGACATTTTAAATACTTATTTCACTCTGGTACTGTCAATGAGTTTAGTAAGACAAATTATTCATGTTGCATTTCTCATGACTTAATGGTGGTAACAGTTCTTTCTTGGTTCAAAGTAGCACAGCTTTGCCCCATCTGGACTCTCAAAGGTATCATCTTTTCTGATCTATTAAGGATGAGTCAAAGGCTCAAGCTATGACTTCTCAGACTTTTGTGTATCCCCCTGAAAAAGTTGGCTTTGGGATGGTGACTGTGGTAGAACTGGTTGACAGTGCAACTGCACAGTACTAAAAATTACCAAAAAGCTACTGTCAAACATCATTTATTCAGCACCTAGAACAAATATTAGTGAGAACATTGTTTTTTCCATTCTTTTCATTATCTCATGGGAAAGCTACACATTTGTTGTTTCTCCTGCAGGAAATTCCATTAGCATGAAATTACGCTGTCTTACATTTATTTAAAAAGTGCCCCTATGTGAGAGCTAGGGCAAGGAGGAAAGGAGAGACACCCAAGACTCAAAAATAAATAGCATGACTCTTACATAATTATGCTTCTCTGGTTGTCTGCTGGCAATGCCAACCCCATTCCTATAACTGTACAGATAAGTGCTATGTGTGTTCACTTCCAACACTACTAGCAACAAGAAGAAAAAAATATATAAAAGTCATAATTTATTTAATGGAAAATAAGAAGTGAGCAAAAGATTTTCATGAAATAATGGACAATAGAGAAAAATACTAAAATGATTAACAGCCCTTATTTTACTACAGAACAGAGGGAGAAAAGGGCTTCCTCATACAGAGGAAAAGCAGCAAGAAAAATTCCACCACTTAATTCTCAAGGAGTCTCCTTTTAATGATTTAGCAGTTGAGTCTTTCTCCTTAACTTTATTTTATATGTACACAATACGATGGGACCCACTCAAGGGTTAACACTCAAGAGTCAGTGATAGGACTCACCCTAAACACACCCCCTTGCAGATTCAAACCTTCAAGATCTATGAAGATCTTTGTAAACCACTGTAGTGCAAGCCCATCCAAATAAAGCCCCTGTGTTTCTGCACTGGCTTTGACTATCTGCAGACATTCATAAAAACACTACATTTAATAGGGTGCCATTGCACAAAAGTTACCTACATAAGAGTTAATACAGATGAATATTGCAATTATTTTACTGTAATTCCTATGGTTTTGGTAGGAAGACAACTGCCTTTCCTTATATGATATCATGGAAACTTAGAACGAAACTTAGTACCAGTGAGGTAAGTGACTCCACTCCCAAGCACTTCCATATCTGCATATGGAAGAGATCTCCCCATGCATGTCTGTGCAGAAAAGTGAAGTATTTGATTTTACCAAAACATTTCAACATCTTTATCAATTATTTGGATGGGGGAGTGAAAAGCTCGCTGACCAAGTTCACAGACAACACCAAGTTATGGGGCAGTGTGGTCACGTCAGAAGATAGGTTGCAGATACAGGCAGACCTGGACAGGCTAGAGAGTTGGGCAGACCGGAACCAGATAAAGTTTAACACTTCCAAGTGTGGGGTGCTCCATCTGGGGGCAAAAAACCCTCAACATACGTACAGGCTCAGTGGTGACAGCTTGACTTGCACCACGGCTGAAAGGGACCTAGGAGTAATGATCGACCATTGCATGAATATGAGCCATCAGTACGATGCAGTGGCCAACAGGGCAAACAACATGCTGGCATGCATCAACCTATGAATCTCATGTAAAACTAAGTAAGTGATACTCCCGGTGTACTCAGCACTGGTGAGACCACAGCTGAAGTATTGCGTCCAGTTCTAGGTGCCACGCTTCAATAAGGACATGGAAGAACTTAAGAGGGTCCAGAAAAGAGCCACGCATATGATCAGGGACTTGCAAGGCAAGCCATACGAGGAAAGGCTGAGGGACCTGGGCCTCTTTAGCCTAAAAAAGAGAAGGTTGAGAGAAGACTTGATAGTGACTTGCCGCTATATTGGAGGAGTGCATCAGGAGCTTAGTGAACAATTGTTCACTAGGGCACCCCTGGGGAAGACCAGAACCAATGGATATAAACTCTTGGAAGGCCACTTCAGGCTTAATACCAGGAAAAACTCCTTCACAGTCAGGGTGTCCAGACTGTGGAATAAACTCCATCCAGAGGTGGGAGTTGGTGATGCAGTCACCTACCCTAGCAGGTTTCAAGAGGAGAATGGACAGTCACCTCGCTGGGGTCACTTGACCTCAGTTGTCTTCCGGCCTAGAGTGTGGGGGGCTGGACCTGATGATCTGCAAGGTCCCTTCCATCCCTAACAATCTATGAATCTATCTATACATTTGTGTGGAATGTATCAGACTTATTTATTGCTTTATATGAATTTATGTTCACCAAATGGAAAACAAAATGTATACAAAAAGAAAAAATAAATAAATGTTACTTACACTGGGATGTTTTCGAAGGCATCTTCAAAATTCTCCTGCAAAACAAGCCAAAATCAGTTTAATAAACACAAAATAGTCAGGATATGGGTTTTTTTGTTGTTGTTGTTCATGTTTTGCTTTATTTTTCTTAAATGGTGACAGAATTGCACAATTACAGAACTAGATTGGTTTGCTTGCCCTTTTTTAAAAATAACTTCTAGAAATAATTCACATGTATTAATTTGTAGGCTATCAGTGTTTGGTTACATCGTCAGCTACCCAGGACTAAAGCTGCCATTTCAATGCACATCTCCTTCTTGGAAAGCTATACAGGAGATGGATATCCAAGGTAAATAGCCCTTATGCAGTTTTTATAATAGTAGTTAGAGCTGCAAGTAGAAGCCAGATCCATTAGCTAGTGACGAAGCAATTTAAAAACTTTCAGCCTCCCAATCATTCCTCTTTCACTCCATTTTTCCTGCTGCCTCTTCCTTCTTCTCCACCCCAGCCTATTAAATCAAGCCAAGTCCCCATCTCCAGTCCAGACATTATACCCCACAGCCTACTAGTTAGGAAACAATTTAAAGCAGCAAGCAAGCAGGCAGGCAAAGTCTTCTTCCATTGCAGGTTTTGAGACACTACCAGAACCAGCAGTCTGGCTAGATCATAACCCTGATACTAATGAACCAAGTACATGCTTCTCCAAGTCTTTTCTAAACATATTCATTGCTAAGGTATTAAGGGAAGGTCAGAGAGGAAAAGTGAGAGGAAAGGACTACTACCCAGCTTTGTAAAATAATTCAGAAGCAACACAACCACTGTCATACAGTTATCACAGTGTTTGAGAGGCAACAGCTATCTGAAGGTCAACCTGAGCAAGAAAATAGCAATACAGGTAAGAAGGAAACTTGAACACCTTACTAAAATTATGAAAGCAACTTCAACAATACCCAACTTGATTATTAAAGTAATGTACAAACTTATATATTCTTAGAATGAACTGCAAGGAAATGAGTAGTATTTTAGATTCATACTACTGTCTAGACCTGCCATCACTAATGGAAATTATGGAATACTAAAAATGAAGGAAATCATGGGTCTAACAGCATGGACTTTTGATTTCTCTGTAAACTTACCAGAGGTGTAACTGATAAATACCTTCAAATATTAAAATAAATTATTAGTAGTCTTCAATTACCATGTGACAACTAATTTAACTTTGAAAAATAGGTTATGTTAATGTCCTACAGCATTATAAACACAGGCTTATACGATAATTTCCTATAAGTAAAAAATGTATCTGTGGCTTGTGGAAGGCAAAATTTGAGGTAAAGAAATTAATTTTATCACTCTATTGTTCAAACCTGCTGCTCTATCAGTTTTCAGACTACAAAAATGTTGCAAACATCGTCCAAACTCTGGGAAGGAACAGAGGAAATATACCGTGAAAAAGTTTACTGATGAATTATTTGCAATCTACTTGAATTTGCTGGCTGCCATGTCACTGGAAGAAGAGAAAGAACAGAATACAATCCTATGTCTAAGGGGTCAGCAAAAGATGACTATGATCGAAAGTATGTGAATACCTACACTTACAATTCAAATGGGTCTGCACCTTCATTTAAAATTTTTTAGGGGTCCCCAAACAAAAAAAGGTTGAAAACCACCATTTTACATAATTCAGGAAGCAAGCAGAGAAAGGACCCCTGAGGAAGCAGATACAGGGTCTTTGGCACAAAACATTAGCAGTAATATTAAAGTATGTGTATGCTGAAAGAAAGGGAAATATACTCTGTTCTCTTATCAAGTTGCTTCACTTTTCATTCCCACATTTGAGAGTTTTAATCACGCATTGTGTTGAAAATCCATGTTTCACAAAGGTTTCTTTTGTGTACTGCAGTACATTCTTGCATATTTGATTCACACTTATTTCAACATCAATTTTGTAATATGCCAAAATTGAAGCTGTAGGAGAACTCTATGGAGTTAGCCCTTAAAAAACAAACAAAACACCCTCTCCCCACCCCCCGCAAATAGCTTATTTTGGCATTTTAAAAAAAATAGCTAAATGGAGTTTCTTCAAATAGTTTGTACCAAAGTGCTAAATAATTAACAACCTCTCACTTCACCCCAATAAGGATTATAGAAAAGTGTGAACACATATGTGGTGGTTGCACTTAGGAGGTCTCCTTTTACCACTGTCTAGTCACCCAATGACCCGTCGGTACCATGACTTTCCCGCCTGCCACGTCTTGGATGTTATTATTCTATGCTCGAATTTTTTGATGTCACTAGTCAGGAGGGTTGTTTAAAAAGAAAGTTTTTTTTGGTCTCTATTAGGGTTCCACGGGTACTATCGGTAAGTTATCTCGTTCACTCCTCTGTATATTCACACCCACTCGACAGTATAGATAATCGTAGTCTGATTCAGATCAAAACTTGTATTTATTTATTTATATCAACTTGGTGGTTCTATTTATATACTGTTCTTATGCTATTACTGTCAATTTGACTGAACAGAACCTAGTATTCATAAACAAAGTCTTTCTTATTTGTCCATGTTGCATTTCTATCCTTTTCATGGGTTTTTATCTATCTTCAAACCCCACTATATACTTTCTTTTTACTTCATTGACTGATAAGTCTATTCCTCTTTGTTTTTGCGTGCATCTGATGCCTCGGGTCCTTTTGATGGGCATTCAGACACTGTTTCCACAGCTGAATAATCATGGGTCTATTTCACTCTTTTCTTTTGCTTTCTTTCCAGGTCGGCAGTGCAATATGCATCCCGTGGTGTTTATCTACTTCTGGATCTGCCCCTCGCTCCCGGAGCTTCGTTCCTCCCGCTGATGCCATGAGAGATCCTCGGGTAAGTTACTGATCCCCTGGGGATCCTTTTTCCTCTCTCTCTCTCCCCTATTTCCTCTCTCCTTTTCTCTCGCTGAGGCTCCCTTTTTCGCTGTCGCCACTGCGCTCTGAACTTGGAGCTTCTAGTCTTATATGGTATCAGCTACGGAAGTGGCATTCTCCAGGTCCTTTCACTGCCATGCTTACTCCTCCACAACATATCAAATTATTGTGCAAAAATTCAATGTTAGTATACTCAGGGCGTCTTTACACATCCCAGGTTTGGGGACATCACTGCTTGCATTCAGCATCCCACGCTTCAAAATGGTGGTGGGGGCACTTTAACTAAAGCTCATTCAGCGAGCTTTAAAAACACCCCCACTGCCATTTTGAAGTGCAGGGATGCTGAATACATGTGATGCAAAGGCTGCTGGAGCATGCTGATTAGTGTGTTAATTAATTGAGTCTGCTCCATGTGCTAATTAGCACATGTCATACACATGCTGGATGTCTGTTCTAGGTGCCCTATGTGCTTAAAGTCTTACAAGGAAGCTGAATGTTCTACTAGAAATGACTTCCTTTCTGTGTAGCAGAATTATTGATATCCTTTGAACAACTTGTAGAAGAACAGAACTTGAGATGCCCAGGACAAATTATTTATCAGTTTCACTGATGGATGGCAGGATGCAAGAATGAAATTTACACCTAATAATTACTTATACCCTGCTGCTTTAAAACACTGATGTTCACTAATTATTTTTCAGTTAAAAAGAGAAAATGACAGAAAACAAAGGCAATGAGTGTGTGGTTTAGTGTCCAAAGCTAGGAATGTTTAGGTTTAATGCTGCTTGGTCAAGAAATACTGTATTTTCTTCTATGCAACATGCCCCCAAATAAAACCACACCTTTTTGAAAGGCTGGGGGGGGAGGGGGGGGCTAGGTTCTTTTCCAGAGTCACAGCTGACTGGCAGAGTAAAGCCTCCTGGGTACACAGTGTCCAGGAAATGCGGCACCAGGAACTTCCTGGAAGCAGCTGCCTCACTCAGACTGCCTACTAGGATTCTATCCAAGACAGCTTTTCTTGCCTAAAAACACATCCCCCAAGGGGGGAGGGAGGGAATGCATGTGGTATGTGAGAAATATATAGTACTAAATTAAAACATTCAAATCCAGGTTGGGATTCATTCTTGTGTTTAAAATGACAAAAATGGAATAATGCATCTATACATTATTATGACTCCAATGAATTTCTTAGGAACTTAGGATAAAAGCCATTACAGACTAAAGAAGAAAGCAATATTAAAAACAATCTATTTATACAATTTATATGAAATATTATCCACTATTAATACACTTCCTCTGTGCTATCAATCAAGTTATCACTGAAAATACACTATTAAATACAAAGGGTCAAGAAATCATGGAATTCATGTTTTTTGTTTAATCATCAAAAAATAAACACAAAGGATCAATTTGCCACGTATAGAACAGTAGTGTTTTGGTCCCATACACTGTACATTTCCAAGTTTTTGATGCATCTTAATGAGATTTTACTACAGGGTAATTTCCAAGTTATTTAAATTTTAATTGTTATTTCAGCTAACTTCAATTTTTAAGTTATTTTGCTTGCTAACATCTCTTGCATTTATAATTTTATACATTTCCTAATACACCTTCCTGCTTGTCTATATAGGCACTAACAATACTGCCAGGAATGGCACTGAGCATAGTAGAGGTGACTATGAGTCTCTTAGCAGGAGTAAGGCGTTTTGAGAACACCACTTGTGTTCCATCAATGCCTTTCACAGAAATCCAGGCAGAAAGCATCATGTCCTGAAACTGAACACATGACTGATATGATAATGTTGACGTGAAGGCTTCAACTTTTTTGACAATGGGCAGATACTCTTGGGAGGTGGACTGCTAGCAAGGGATAGGATCCATCTGACTAGAATGGGGAAGAACATCTTTGGGTGTTGTCTGACCGATCTAGTAAGGAGAACTTTAAACTGGGTTCTACGGGGGACCGTGATCTAAATCCTCAAGCCACAGAGCACACAGGCCAGAGGGGAAAAGGACTCAAAATAAGCAATTCAACTCTGGGAAAGAAACAAGAGAGCTACAGGACTGCAACAAAGTGGCACAAAAGGGAAGCAGAGAGGTCAAAATGCAAATAAATCCAGTGCATGTATATAAATGCAAGAAGTAT